ATTCAGTCGGCGCTCCGGCGCACTGTCTGCACTGCAGGACGGAGAAGTGAGAAAACACTATTTGGAGGAAAAAAGTAAATCTGCTGATCTCAATTATGTCAAAAACCAGAGCGGTAAAAATAGGAGAGACAATCCTTCCCTTGTTGAAGAGAAGTGGAAGCTCAAATGCTCAGCAACATTTTACTGAGTTTAGAGTTCCTGTGAACAGGTGGCACGAGGGAAAGGGAAGGTTGAGTAACTTCTCAGCGCTGGTCGAAAGGGAAACATGTGGCACGATAAGCGCGTCACAGACATCATCGAGAGCGGTTAAAGAAAGAAAGGGGAAGGAAGCAATGCCAGAGGATACCAACCACACCGGGCCAATTGGTTTCTCGATAAACTCCAGCTGAAGCTCTGCAGCTCCGGTAAGTGCAGAAAGCATAAGAATAAGCAGAACCACAACAGAGGCCGTCTAAATGGAGCTGCCGTGGCTAAAGTCGGGCTGCAGCAGATAAGCAGGCTACGTCGGGGACAGATGACCCAGTGGGACCCCAGCACCCGCCCCGCAGACGACTCCGTCTGATTACGAGACACAAATATATGCAGGGTGCCTCCTGAATGCCTGCCAAGGCAGCAGCGACAGACGCCCAAAAGCAGAAGATCAAAGCGTAGCAGTGAGAGAAACTGATGCCGGAGCGAAATGTAGAACTGAGCACATCTATTTAGTTTGTAAACTACTGCAATAAATCTGCAACGTGACTTCTTTTCACGTCTATTGGTAGTATTCCTATAAGTGTGTCTATTTCTAGGAAGAAGCTCTTTCATTTATGATGTAAATGATAAATTGCCACTGTGCCTTATATTAGCCATCACTCCCTAACCCTATCTGCGCACTTAGGATTGATTAAGATTTAATTCACTTTCATAAATTATTTTTGTATTAAATAAATCTCAATAATTCACTTAAGTTAAGTTGTTCATACCTCTGTAAGATTGAGATCAAAAGACTCTTAATTTTACCAACATTTATCTTTTAACAGGAAATAATGTTAACATTTTGGAGTGGTCTGACTTGAATCTGTGCAGGGAGCTAAAGATTAGGGTGATGGCAAGGAGGCATTCCAATCGGATAAACTTTCCGACAGTGAAATGCCTTTTACATGGTTTGATTCTTGGAACTCTGTGTCTCATTTCAAAAACCAACTTCTTGGTTGAAAACATAATACATTTAAATCTACCAGGAGAATTTTTTTTTTTTTTTTGAAGGACAGTGTTAAACTTGGCATACATTGTGGATTTTGCATAAATACTTTCATGGAAACAAAACTGTAAAACATTGTATTCCTGCCAATCAGGTATAATAAATTCCAGTAGCATGTCTAACCAGACCCCACCTATAAAATACACCCTGCGGCATTTAAGCTGGACTTATATTTGCCAATTAGACCGCCTTGTTAATTTTAAAGGATGGCTCTGTGCTCTTGGAAGGTGAACCAAAACATCCCAACCTTTGACCACAAAACGACACTGAGTCAGGGCTCGAACAGCAGCCCCTCCCTGAAGAGGCGTCCGATGGCGCGATGGAAGAGAAAGGTGATGACTACGACACTGGGGATTGCTGGGGATTTGTCTGTCTGCGTGTCTAAAAAGATGTTTCAAACTGGTTGAACAAGACAATCAGAAGAGTTTTGGTTTCAAAATTAATCAGCAGACCAGGAATTTTTCAACATCTTCATTGAAGTTGTTGGACGTGAGGATAAAAAACGGAAAGGACCTAGACAACCACTGACTAGAAAACTGCTCTTATTTTAACACAACAGTCTGACTGCTAGAACAAATCCATATCATGTAATGACACTGAAACCCTAAACTAAAAAGAGAAAATATGCTTTAGTGTTAATCAGTTTTAAGTATTACTTAGTCTTATTCTAGAGGGTTAATTATCCATAGACATTTGCCATACTTGTTATAACACAAAAACGATCAAATATTTATGCTAGCTTTAGGTGTGATATTTTAGGCATAACTTGAAAATGCAGACCAGCTGAACTGAAATAGAAATCTCCAACTTTAGCTACTGTAGCTAATATTTCTGCTATTGGGAGTTTAACGGTACAAATAAGTTGATTTGTGCATACGGGGTAAGGGTTCAATTCGCGTTCAGAGCAACAACAACATATAAACAGAGGTTAAATGGTAGGTTCCTTTGCTAAACCAGTGGACCAAATAAAAACCCTCTCAAAAACAAACAGATGTTGCCAGCGAGGACGCTCTAACAGAGAGAACAAATTATAGCAGACGTAAATTATTCACTGAATTTGCAGATATTTTCAGGCACAGCAAAGTGTGAGATTATATATACACACTGCTTGCCATATATCCACAACTAGTCCCCCACTGATAGAGCAGTATCACTAGAGGCATGACGTTTTTGCTCACCGCTGATAAAAAAAAAACCAAGAGGAGTCTTCCAGCTCATGTGTGCAATCGCTACCAATTATTCTAGCCTTACATTTAGTTTGAAGGGTTTTAAATAGTTACCCTAGCTAATATTTTATTGCTGCGGATTTTAATACAATACATGTGGATGTCGTCATGGGCCGGCAGGAGGGTTGCATAGTGTTGGACTCTTTAAAACAAAAACCCTCGTAAATTTTCAACTGACTGCTTTCACAAGGGTCGAGCTTGTGTGCCGTAAAGATTTGCCGGGAAAGAAGCAACATTGCATCAATAGTTACCATTACTTCCACGTATACCCAGATGTGACAGGTAAAGTATGTAGTGCAGGACCTGCACCGTCACAAGGTCCTGACGTGTGCAACGGACCTTGTAATTTGAGGGCACATGTTCAGACAAAGATTCGCCTCATAGCTTTGCAAATAATGAAAATTACATCGATGAGTGTATGGGGCCCTGTCATTACAAACAGAGACGGAAAATTTCCATGCAAACAGTCACAGGTCTAACAAAAAAAAAAAAACACACACACATGATGACATATTGACGGGGCAATTATACCCAGTTAAGGTCATGATGTTGATAAGCGGTAAGAGAACTCAGGTGTTTACTAAATATAGTTACGGCTATCTACCTTTTTAAACAAGCTTATGATAAGGGAAGTGTGGAAGCTGGATGTAGAAGTCTTTACTGGCATGAGCATTTGTCAATTCGGCTGATCATCACTTCGTTGGTAGCAACCAACCACACCCGTCATTGGACATGAGGAAACTTCTGTGTCTCAACCCCTGCGGCGTAATCATTCAGGACCTACGTCTATGTCTCGCAGGTCACGGAGGAATATGTCCTTACTTGTTTCACTTCATGCAACACACACACACACACTATTACTCACTGCCAGACATGTGACTAGCAAACCCCAAGCCCTGATAGCGTGTGTCAGCATTTAAACACGCCCATTTCAGCCACTGCTCATATGCTGCCGGTCACATCAGCTGTTTCTTGAAAGCCACAAAAGAACGCCAGCTGCATTTACAGGAAATCAACGAGCCCAAAGAATTTACATCTTCTTATCGCGCCTTGCAAAAGTATTCATACCTGCTGAATTTCTGCTGATAAGGCAACTATGAGTTCACAAATGTGGCCTTGGGGTATAGAAGGGTGGAAGAAGAAAGCCGTTGTTGGAAGGAAAAGCACAAATAGCCAAATTTAAAGTTTGCCAAAAGACTTGTAAGTGACACAGCAAAAATGTGAAAGGAGGCCTGAGGAGACCAAAATGTAACTCTTTGACCTACATGCAAAGCTCTATTATGTCTGAAAAATAACACACACTTGTCATGGTCTAACTTGGTAGGGGCTGCATCATGATGGGGGAATCTTTTTTTTCTCCAGTGGGGTCAGAGTTGGTGAGAGTTGATTGGAAGGTGGATGGAACTAAATACAGGGTGATATCAGAAAAAAAAAATTGTTAGAGGCTTCAAAAGACTTGAGACTGGGGCAGAGATTCCCCTTGCAGCAGAAAAACAACTCCAGACATACAGTATATAGTCAGAGCTGCTATGGAGCAGGTGCTAGAATGGCCCAGTCAAAGTCAAGAACTATATTCCATTAAGAATCACTGGCAAGACTTGGACAAAATTGATGTTCAAAGATACTCTCCACTCAATCTGACTGAGTTTGAGCTATTTTGCAAAAAAAAATAATAATAATAATAATAAAGTGCCAACCTTGTGTGAAGATCTAAGTATTCATTCAGGGAAGTTGAATAAAAATGTATGCCACAAAACCAGTTTTTATTGCTTAAAAATCTCGACAACCATTTATCCTTTCCCTTCTGCTTAATAATTAAATACTCATTGTTAGCCTATCAAACTAAATCCCACCAAAATACTTTCAAGTTTGTAGTTGTAAAATGAAAAATAACATTTTTAATGTGTATGTATGAACATTTTTGCAAGGCAGTCTGCAATGCCGGGAAATCACTATTTTGTTTTTCTAACTCGAAGGAGTTTGCTTCCTAGCAAGATGGAAGTCTAAACAGAGCAAAAACAGTCATCTGTGTCTCTCGTGCCCACATCATGAATCGTGAGAGTCGTTCCCAAAAATAAGCTGAAGAAAAACAATTTTGTGCTTGAGAGTGTTGCATGCTGGGAAAAAGCCAGATCAGAGAGTGTGCGTGCCATCTGTGGACTTCTGAGTCTGGAGAAATGACAAAAAAAAAAAGGGTCCAGATCCTCCCCGCCTCCATTCACAGCATTATTTTAGGCAGGATTATCTAATTTCTGACAGGATTCCCTCCGCCCCCCCCCCGTCTGCCTGCGGATTTCAGCTGTGAAATGGAGAAAGAGCTAATGCATGTCAAGCTGCACTTTCAAATCATCTCATTATCTAATTTCAGACACGATGGACTTTTGGAGGAAAACTCTACATCTGATTTGCATTGCAGGTTGATTTTCACAAAGAGGAATAAATCTGATTTCTACCTGCTGCTCGGAAACACAATCGCCAGTCAAACGGACTTAAAGAAAGTGCAGAGTGTTGCAGAGTGTCAAATATCAACTTACCTGTGTTTTTCAAGCTCATTGTGTGATGATCTGAAAGAAGAAAAGACGAGTGTCAGGACCAGGATCATAAAACCCCAAGATCATCACATAGCATGAGATTCTGTGTCATAATAAAAGGCTAAATGCTTTTTTTTTTGTTTTGTTTTTTTATCCAAATGTCAGAGAGAAGAGTCAAATAAGCACATGCAAACAGATCAGAGAGGTTACATTGCACAGTGATGTGGTGCAACAAAAAAGACTCCAAAGTGAACAAATGTGTAGTATATTGTAAGAGATTTGACAAAGAAGGAACAGAAACATGCTCGGGCATGGCAACAAGGTTCTTTTTAACCATCGGCAGCCTGACCCTTCAGCATCATCATCAGATTTTCATTTAGCATTAATATTTAATAAGACAATGAGAAAAATGTATGTTTTATTCAGGCGAGACAGGTAGTAAAGAGTCAGCCAGACAAGAGCACATGTCGACCTAAGCCTGAGCTTCCCAGTGCTGTTGATGATCATCAGGGCGGAAAGGTTAAAGGTTAATGAGGAGTTTGTATTACACAAATCCTTGGTGAGGAACATTCTGTACAGATGGTGGAAATTCAAGACCATTGTTAACCTGCCAGGGAGGGGTCAGCCAACAAAGATAACCCCAGGAGAAAGGTGGGTAATAAGCTGTTATTCTCAGGATCCTCACAAAGGAACTCATGTTTGCCTCTAAGCATCTTAAGGCCTCTTTCACGGCGGCTAATGTTAATAATACCAAATCCGCTATTAGGGCAACACCACACAGAGCACTTTGAAAACATGTCTGTCTTTATTTAAGAAAAAAAGAAAAAAAGGAAAACAAAACTTTCTGGTTTCATTTTGTGCTTTGAAAAGTACAATACAATGCTGTCTGAATGTTTTTTGCTTTGCACATGTCAGTTTGTACTCCCCTTGAAAAGGTTTCGTACTCCCACTGACAAATGGCTTTTCACAGAGATTTTCTAAACTTACAGAAATTGTGACTCAAGTGACTATAACATGGACTCATTAAGTCACTCACACTCTACTTTTATCTTTTGTAATGAATATTAGAACCGCAATCAATAAAAATAGGGTGTCATTTGAATTTTTTTTTTTTTTTAAAGTCACAATTCATTTGAGTAATTTGAGCACTTCAGAAAAATATTTGTCTCCATAATTGTTTTTTAACCTTTACCATATCACGCTTTTGCTATTTTGGTAATTTTGTACCAGCATTTTTCAGGTATGAAAAGTAGCCTTATGCGACGTGACAAGTTGTACTGCCAAACGTCTCACCGTGAGTATGTTCCTTTTTCTCTTTGACAACCATTGATTTAAGGTCATTTTCACTAATCTGCTCATTTTTCAACTGAATTAAATTACAATTTTCAACTGAATTAAATTTAAATTTTCAACTGAATTAAATTTAAATTTTCAACTGAATTAACCCTTCCAGACCGAATGGATCGGCGACCGTACAGCCAAATTTGCAGTACCGTAATTCCGCCACATTTTGAGCTACATGACAAATTCCAACGGTTTATAAAAGGGGAGACGTTGCATTTTCCAGCCAACCTCGGGTTATTACGGTAATATCACCCCCGCCGTAGCAGGAAGTGAAATTAATCCGAGGGGCGCTCTCTTAATAGATGGTAAATTGTGAAAGTAACTTGCTAGATATTGAAAGTTCCAATTGTTATGGATAAAAGGGCAAATATATATTTACTCATAGGACATTTAAAGACCTGTGTACAATTAAAATATGCAAAAATATCCAGGTGGAAATTTGAAACTTAGGTATTAAATTAGACGTGGTTATATTCGTCCCATAAGCTACCGTCTCCTGGTCCAAACTGGAAACAAAACCAAAAGCAATAGAAATAGTTTTGAATATAAGCATGTCTGTATTAAATTATATGAGATTTGTATTTTACATGATATATTTCATCAAAATATTAAACTACCAATTAACTAATATGCAATGATTACTTAGATCTGTACAAAATGGAATTAAGTTGGCAATTATGTTATAGTTTATTGTTAAAAATATATATTCTAATAAGAATTTGTCAAATTATGATGGAAACAATAACACAATAACTTTAAAAATACTTGCTTGCTGTTTCATAAGAGCATCAAAACAAGACTGAAAATAATTATTTCGTACCGTTTCAGTAGCACAGCAGTACCTTTTAAAAATGAAGAACTAAAATACAGTTTTTCTTCGGCTCAAACCACTGCAAATGTTAATATCACAAAATATTAGAATTTCTTTTGTTTTTGTTGTTTTTATCCATAGTATATATGTCCCCCTAAGTAGAAGTAGGTATGACATGGAAGGGGCAAAATGTCCTGCACTAAACTAGAACAAATAGAAACATTCACACAAAATTGCACACTGTAGTGTGATGGATTATTATTCATTTGAAAATCTATGTTTTCCAGCAAGGAAAGGAGCTGCTTGCCATGGGAAATTTCCTGACAAACCATGAGCCAACTTGTATTTGCCTTGGGAAGATTTTGTAGCTGCTTTGACAACCAATAATTTTAAGACATCCTATAATTTTCCCATAGTCGACTGTAAGGAAAAATGGTTATGAGTCCGTTAAATAATATCTCCTAGTTTTTTGTTTTGTTTTTGTTCTTTTGTGATTAGCTGATATCAAAAGAGTACACTAACTTAAGATGACATCACAACCATTGTCAATATAATTAAGGTGTAAAAATCTAATCAAATGGGTAATATACTGTGAGATTAGGATTTAGATTTATGCATTCTATGACTGTTTATCTTTATCATGTTATCCAGAAAAATAAACTGATATGTGATGGTTAGGAAAATGGATATGAAATATTTTGTGTAGGGATAACAAATGGAAAACACGTGAATTTATGAAGTATGGGCTCGGATTGGCAGAGCTGCAAATTGACCTGGAGTCATAAACACGTTCCATCATAAGAAAGGCTCTAAATTACAACGTAGCAGCCAAAATGTGATGCCGTGGCTCTGATTTGCTACATCAAACGATGAGAACAAACTGTGCAGGAAAAAAGGCAGCACATCTGGCCCTGGACAGAATATCAACAGAAAGTGGGTCATGTAACAAGAACATGAGCCTAAGCAAACAACACGGTTTTTGACAACGAATCTTAAATGGGACGAGGGAATTGTTGCTAAGTAAGTAATGAAGTAAGTAAAAAAAAAAAAAAAAAGTTTTAAAGGACATGCAGTAAATAGCTCGCACCACAACCAAAGCTGTTCTGTTTGCATTACAGCTGAAGTGGAAAACTGATCGACATTTACAAGGGGAGACGTCCAGCTGCAGCAGAGGGTCACAACCCTGCTGACTGCAAATTCTCACCAATTTTTACTGCTACCGCTTTACGAAACTGGAACAATTTAGTGTAGCCGAGGAGAGCTTTCTGCCAAGCTTCATGACAAATATATGTAAAGTTCAAAACTTTTAAGTGCCATTCTAAAAGCAGAGCCCCAATTTTAAGATGTGTTTTTCAATCGTAGCCAATAGCTGCAAAAGAGAAAATGCAGGGAGCGCTCAGCTGAACTGATACCCCCCCACACACACACACAACGAGGGATCCGTGACACCGCATGCACGCTGCACCCACTGCTGCAGTTTCTGCATGACGGCTGATCAGCGGCGAAGGACGCGGAATAAAAACGGCTCTCAGACGTCTGGAGGCTTCAGATGCTGCAGAATTCCTCAGCGTACACGGGCTATTCCGAGGAGAGACTCCCCCCGTTGTGACACGCAGGCAGCCGGGAGGGCAACCGAAACAGGCCCTCCGTTCATGAGGGTGTCATGGATACCGTGGCAACAAAAACAAAAACAGCAACAACAAAAGGGGCCAGACTGACAACAAGCCCTTTTCAGACTTTCCACCACCCTAGACCCCCCCCCACCATCTCCCCCTGCCAAGCTCACGAAAGCAGTGGTTCCCACAGCTGTAATGCAACAACAAGGCAGTTCGACGTGCTGAAAGGGTTACGGCTGACCCGTCTGCACAATATCATCCCAGAAGGAGCACAGGATGTCACACCGCTGCAGATCTAAGAAGGCAGACAAAGAGCTTCGCTCCCAGCTCGGAGGAAGTTGCGCTATTGAAAGATGTAGAAATTGGAGGAAAATGTCCCAGTCAAAGCACGAGGCCCGAGCAGGAAATCGTGAGGAGGAAGAAGGGAATGCTCCAACCCACAGGTTAAACCACACATTTTTACATGTTATGTAAAAGCACGGTGTCTGGCATGCAAAACCAATGATGCCATGTATCAGTTTTTAGAAGGAAGTAACACAGCAAAGGCCATCCCCTGAACATTTCCCTACTCACAGGAAGGAATTCAAGGCTGAAAATAAAGCTCTTTTTTTTTTATGTGACTATTTATATGTGAGTGTAGTACAGAAGAGTCTCAGTGAAACAGAAACTAGTAAACAGCCAAAACACAGCGATAATTTCAAAGAAACTCAATGGGGCCTGCTTCTTGCTATACGTACATGTGAAATGCTATTTTGCTTATTCTCCCCGAGAACAGACTCAGAAACATGTCACCCGTAATTCTGCCAAGTCAACCACCTTTTTAAACCTGATTAATGTTACATTTTCTTTAGGTCCACCCACCAACTTGAAGGGCCTGCCCGTGCACAGAACTAATGGAGGAGTTTTAATTAAGGGCAGTCACATTAAGATGGAGTGAAAAATTGGTCTTCGAACTCGGTGGGCGTGGGTTCGTTCCACAGGTATGTGTGTGGGCCACCACACCCAGCACACACATCCGCACTCCCTTTTCATCATTCACCCGTTTATTGAAAGGATGCATTTCCTTGTAAGACCAACAGAATGTTGTAGGAACTGGATGAACTTGAAGTATCGTTTTAATTTCACAAAACTTAAAACAAAGCTCTTAACCTCAACCGATCACCCGCTGCATAGTTTGCTACTGTGAAATTACTTCCTAACTATTTAACAAATCAACTTAAAAAAAAAAAATAAATAAATCTTAATCAGCATTTAATTGTACAAACAAAAATATAAATCATACAAATTCCCTTAGACAGTCACAACTTATCAAGACTAACAGGTATAGTTAATGACCAATTAAATACACTATTACACACCAGGATCAAGTAAGTCTCAAAAAAAGCATATAGTTACAAAAAACAAAACAAAAAGAAACTCCAGATTAGTCTCCTATTGAGGGTGTGTCTCCATATGACAATACATTTCGCAGAGATAAATGAAGGGAAGCTCAATCTGGTGTGACAACTCTGTTTTTAGCAACATGAGCTTAAAAGATTTATTACCCGATCAATGACTCAGGTTTCATTTCAAATAGGCTGTGGTTTGTCACATGCAAGGATTCGTTTGTCAGCATGCAAAAAGAGTAATTTACGATTTTAGCAGCAAAGTTCTACATTTATCCAGCAGCAGTAAACTTTTTTTTCTTTCTTTTTTTTTAGTATAAATCCAGATTTGATTAACCCGAGAACCAAAGCTGGGTCCTCGCGGGGCCAAGACTAAAGAGGCTTTTCCACAACTTGTATGTCAAAAAAAAATGTCATACGTTGACGCAAGCACTATTTTGCGAACCTTTAAGTCATTCTTACATTTGCACTGGATGATTGTTTAGTGAGAAACAAATTATTTATATCTGAAAATGGAGATGAGACGTTGACACTCCGACATGTAAAGGATTTCCAACCCAGTTATGACAAAACTGGGGGAAAAAAATAAACTATCAAAAAAAAAAACTACACTGCCTCACTTTTCCTTTACTTTGACCAAAAAAGTTTAACATGTTCTGCTATCAGTATGGTTTTCACACTGGATGACCATCAGTAGTAGCACACTGCCTCCGTCCTTCATTTCCTGTGTAAATGGTTATAAGCTTCTCTGTAAATAGCTATCTAATACAAATGTGGTGATGGTTTAAAGTTTAATGAAATGTCCAAAGTGTCATATCCTGCTGGTAAAATATTACTTGCTTATGATTAGATTAGTATGTTTCCAGTGTCAAGCTAAACCAAGATTTTAAAGATGTTATGGTTGCAGCCACCTGCAACTGTATATGCGCTATAATTTAAGTATGTAATTTAATTTAATTCGGATTAATTTGCACCGATACCATGTTATACCTTCACAGTCTTGTGTCAATTCGAACCCATGTCAGGGATGTTTTGTACCCACAGAGATCATTTTCAAGACACTGGTTTACTCAAAGTCATCTGGACGTCACTCAGAGTTGCAAAACACAAGTTTGATCAGAGGACGGAATCTCTCACATTTCATAAGATTCGAGTAATCCATGCGGTGATCAGAACGACAATCAGTAATACTATCAAGAGAAATACATTCATCCAGCTGGTAAATATTTGGGTTTGTAATGGTTGTTTACAGGTGTAACTGGGAGCACGTGGGCATGAAATGGGAGCATTATGGCACAAATTATTGGGAAAGAATTGTCAAAGGTAAACTGACTCAGACCTCAGGGGTTGATTGTCACATTACACCATGACCATTTCAAAAACTTTGCAGACTGAAAGCTTTTCTAATAAGAGGAGTTGACTTCCACGGGATCTTTTTGCCAATCATGATCCAATTTGTTTCCTCCTTTGGAGATAATGAGTACCCACTCTGAGGACCAACGACTTAGAGTAGTTTTCGAAATTCTGCTACCATAAGGAAATATTCTAAATAAAACATCATGGCAGGGTTATTTTGGGTGAGTGTTCATCATTTTGCCCTTTCATATCTCTGTAGTTTAGGTCACTTGATACACAACTTTTTTATGCACTAAATAGTGCTGATCTCAGCAGGACATTTTGTACCGACTATGCATTACTACTGGGAGATCTGTGCACACTGACAAACATCGGTTTAAAATAATCTTCTATAATCTACTCATGCTCCGCTATAAGGAAATGTGGCTACTCTACACCAATAGGGTAATATTTACTAGCAGGAAGTCACTCAGTGTTATTTTGGGGTTTTTATGGGTCAGAATCTCCCTAATTATAAAGTCCGTAGTGAATAATACAAAATTAAATTAAATTACACATGAGTTTTGAGCATTTCTATAATTAGAAATATCATATAATATATAATTAGAATAAGCCTATAAAAAGTACTAAAATAAAGTGATATGCAAACCCACATGGGAATAAATAGGAAGGCATGGAACTACAATGCAAAGGTGGCACAAAGCGGTGAACGCAGAGCTATTCTGAGAAAAGGATTCAATATTAACCTTCAGTCATTTATCTAACAAGCTAGAAATCATAAAGTAAAATTGAATCAAAACTGAAACCTGCATTTATTCTGTCTGTGTGCAGTTCAGTAGCACATCTTGAGGATGTGTTTTCTAAGCGGGAGAGGTCGTTCAGCGGAGATCTGACCAAAAAAATTTAAATACTGACGGTTCAACCAAAAAAACATGAGGACAACAACAACCTTCTTGTGTTCTGTGTGTGAGAGTGTGGGAAGAAAGTGCAGGACTGCAGTTCCTGAAATGCGACCCTCTGTCACTCTCTCTCTTTCTCTCTCTCTGTTTTTCTTTTGCAGGACTTTCATTTTGCAACCAGACACACCAAACAAAACACTCTCGCCACATGAAAAACACAGCGTTTTAACCCAGGTGAAAGCATGGCAGGGCTGTGTGAGACATGCTGCAGAAACGAAAGGTTAAATGCATGTCGGGTGTGCGTGTGTTTTTCTCCCTCTCCGGTTCTCTCAGCATGGGGAGGGCAACACAGAAACAGACAGAGGCAGCAGAGTTGACAGTGTACGCGTGGCACTGTTGATTGGAGAGACCAAAACACACTGATCCCAGCCCAGACATACATACCAGCAGGGCTGCTATACTCATGTTTATGCACCGCTAGAGTTTACAATGGCATGGCACGTGAAGGCAAGACATATAGCTACATATTTACCTATTGTTCTGAGCTTTTCTGGAAATTGGTGTGGCTTTCGTTTTCTTTCGGGAAAAGTCACTGCTGTATGGTAAAACAGACGCATAACCATGCTCTGCCTCTGTGGACACACATAAAACAATAAATAATGAAATGTTAGTTTACTGTTAGCCAGTCAATACAGGGAAACGTGAAATTGCTATTATGTCTAAATCCTTCCAAGAAATAATCCATTAGTACAAACATTTTTTTTATATCAAGGTAGAGTGCACATTAACCCATATTTTTAATGCAACTGTTTTAAGCCCTGTTTTCATAGACTAAAACGACAAGACATAAACAAGTCGTATCTCTACAAAATTAGATTACATCATTCTTTCTGTAGCACATCATGTTTCTGGGTCCACTTTGTACCCATCGCCTTGTCTGTGTCCCATTGAGAAACAAGTGACATCATACCTGCACTGAAGGCAGGATAGTGTTAAAACCCAGAAGCATCGAGTCTAATTTATTGTCACAAAATAACTCCTTTAAATAAATGCCTGTCACTTCTGCTTTAAATACCTCTGTCTCGTCTCTCCAAATATTCTGCAGCCTCCAGCAAAATTAAAAGAGAATTCAGTTCCATCTTCTCCGGGTCTTGGTGTTCTTTAAAAAAATAGAAAAAAATATATATCTATCTACACAAGTGTACAATTCATAAAATAATGGAATGAAGATGAAAAATAAAAGCTGTTCTTCAGCGGAGCCCAAACGCTGCAACGTTCACTTCTGAGTCCTGACGACTCCAAACTACAGTAACAGCAGCACCTAAACTCAGGAAACCAACTGATTACACCGCTATCCAATCAGAAAACCTCCCTGAGGTGCGTCTACGCCAATGAAAGTCCTCTTTGCGATGTCATTGGCTTGACTGAGTGAAGTCATTGGCGATATACCCTAGCAACAGCCGCTAGTGCCCGCCTTTTTCGATGCTGATTGGCTTTCTACTCTGTGTGGAAGCGTCTGATTGGCTAATGAGAAAGAGGATGGGTGTTTTTCATATAGTTGAACTTGGATGTTGTTTTGGTTTCCCAAAGTGAGATAACTTCTCGAAGTACGGTTTCTGCGTTTTGGCCGTGGAATAAATGGCATTTGTTCAGTCAGCAAGGCTCAATTATACTTCAGTCATATATCGTTTGGCATGACAAGTACTCAGTCACACGGATGATATTTTGTGTTTATTTCCTGTACAAGTCATTCTGAAAGTCTTCAGCTGGGCCATAACACCAAGCTGAGCCAGCTGTGAAGATAAAGCACCATTGCAACACACAGTTCCCTTTAAATATGTTTATTCATGCCTCGTCTTTTAATAAATGCGATAGCTTGAATGCACTGTAAGAACTTTTTTATGCACAAATTATGGTATTTAGAAAAAGAATACTTTTTTTTATTACAACAGCAAATTGTATCCTGAAAAATTAAGATTCAACCTTCATTTAAGCATTTTTTAAAATTGGGTCATGGGGGGAGTAACATTATTGGTAACCACCTTGTCCTAGTCATATTTTTTTTACAACTCTTTTGCCAACAGAGCAGGACTGCCTTCTAAAACTTTTCACAGGGTGTTGATGTAGTCATATTTGTTTATAATTATACAACTGAAAACTCATGGATAGTCAGAAGCCACATTAATTTAATAGATCATGATGCCTGTTCATGTTCCCTTAGGGGGGAAAATGACATGACAGCCATTTCTCTTTGCTACTGAAGGCAAACAGTCTATAACTTTATTCAAATTTCGTCATAATTTGATGCTTTAGTCACATGTCCCTTTTAATTGTACACAAAACTGTAAAAAAAAAATCTTTCATAACAGTCAAAGTTTTACTACTATGCTAGCTACTTTTTTTTTCTTATCTTGCAGAGTCAGGTCTGCAGTCATGATTCATGACCATTGTGTCAATCGAGATCATGTGACAGAGATCAGCTCTTGAAATTGAATTTGATAGTGGAAAATTCTACCCCATCCATCACCAGCTAAGCATGAGAGAAAAGTGTCAGAGGTTTCGCAGAAATAGAAGAGTTATGAATTTCAAAAGGCTTTCAAATGTGAGTTTTTTATGCGCATGGCAGGCAGTTTCTCATGCTAGAAGCCAGATGTTTGTTGGACTGCATTCTGAAGAAAACACCAACACATCAGAATGAGGAAGTGACTCTCAGCATGAATTATGAAGACCCCAAGGACCACAAACACCGTTTATGCTGTATGCTCTTGGTGATATGCGACACATGAGATCCTCATGGGGCCCATGCTGCAAGATAGTATATCGAGTTATGTTGTAAGTTAGTGTGTGGCTTTGGAGTTCTGTTGATGTCAGCAAGTTTAACAAGAGTGATGTGCAAACTGAAGAACCACCTAAAATATGTGAAGCTGTTCACAGTTGTTAGCTGCCACACCAAGACAGATGATACTGTCTGTCTAGATGATAAGTATGCAACACTTTCATTTGCATAAATGATCTCATGAAGAGCTCTTTTTTTCCCTCTACTCTGCTGCCACAAAGACCAATGGATTTTTATTTATTTATTTTTAAAAGACCAACAGAAAGTAGACTTACAAATTAGAAGGAAATTATGCACAATAGGATGTTTTTACTGCTGAATGTCTGAAAAGTGTGTTAAGAGTTTGTATTTGGCCCTCTTTTACCCTTTTACCCCTCATTAAAATCAGGTGTAACCAATTGTTAATCTAATCCACCTGAGTTTAATTTAATCACAGCTGTTCTGTTAAGGCCTCAGAGGTTTGTAGAGAACATTAGTGAACAAGCTTTTCTTCAGAAGGGACAGGGGAGAGCTGTGTCGAAAATGGATCAACCTCTAAAATAGAACGTAAACAGCAATAGGACAATAGAAAACATGCCAAGGCTGCGAAAGACTTGCGATGCTGACAGAGTTTTGACTTCCTGCAGGACAAAAATCCAGAGCTACAATGAAAAGGTTTAGCTCAAAGTTCTGTTTTAAAATTATCTGGAGCTAAATTAATTTAGAAATCTATGGCAGAACTTAAAATAATGTTCACAGAAACTATTAATCCATTTTGCAAACTAGAATTGGTACACATTTCAGTTTCTAGACATGCAAAGCAGGTAGTGACAAACTACAAAAGATTACCTGTAATTTTAGTGAATGGGTAAAGCATTGAATCAGGAGGCCTCTGAATACAAATGCACACTTTTCAGGTCTTTAAGTGTAAAAATGTATAGTACTCCTTATTTTATAATGTCTTAATGATCTGTGCTAAAAGTAAGTACAATTCAAAATTTGTGCAGATAAAATGTAAAAATGTTCAAGAGTTATTGGTACGTTTGCATGATGTTGTATAACACAGTCAATTTCTGAGTAGGAGATAATGTTTTAATTTGTGGAGAATGTTTTTTATTTTTAGAGAATTTCTCAAATGCAGCCTCTCTGCAGTGATGTCCAGGATGCAGGTGTTTTGAGTTGCTTGGCCTTTACCAAAACTAAACTAGTATTTGGTTCACCAAGCTCAGGCCATGCAGAAACCACATTCAACTGATAATCAAGCTGTATTTAAGTTTCTGTCTCTCCGACTCCATTTGCATCATGTTGAATGTGGAGAGCCATTTCAGCCAAATTTAATTTTGGCTGAAATTGAGAAATCATAGTAAGAATGAAATCACACATGGTGTAAAACTCACTTGTTTCACAACAAATGAACTAATGCATTTTCTTCTGTTGAACCTCATGGTGTGTTTTTGCCTGTATATCACAACTGTCCTTAAGGGTAAAATATGAGAGAGTCATAATAGTTGAACCCCTCATATCATGTGCCCACATGCGCAAGGACACTCTTTACAACTACACTTGTAACACTTGTTTGACCTTGTAAGAACCCATTACCATCTCTGCATATCCATAGCGCATGTGTGTTAATCCTTACCTGGAGACGATCTTTTCTGCAAGCGAGCATTTGTCATCATGAGTGCATAGTCACTTCTGTTTTGGAAGTTCTGTTTTCCCTGAAAACTCACTGATGTGAATTTCAGAAGAAATGTGTGGCTTTCTGCTGCTGCGTTTACAGTAATTATTCAGTGACACAATACTTGAAAAGCGACAAAGATATTCACTACACACGGCTTTGAAAACATGAAATCGGCAAAAAAAAAAACCCGTGATAAATGGCAGTTGCATGATTATCCAAATTTTGGATCCATTTCCTGGATTTTACTTTCATGCTGGCATTTGCATTTTACTTTTTGCATTGTTTTCCCTGGACTGATCAAAAGATTGTAAGCCAATTTTATTGCAGGACTTTCATCTTCACAACTCAGTATAATTTACAAATAAATAAATCTCAAAAGTGTGGAGTGCAATTTTATACACCCCGCTTTTCTCCACTACCCCTATATAAAATCCATCTCAAACCAGTTGCCTTCACGTGAAGCTAAGTAGAGTGTGTACTTCAGTGTTGGTATAACTGAAGTTATTCTGTGAAAGCCTCAGAGTTTTTTAGTACTTTAGTCCTTTTCTGTACTTTTTAGAGCAAACAGCACCATGGAGACCAATGCATACAGCAGACAGGCCAGGGAAACAGCTGTGGAGAAGAATTAGGCAACAGTAAGCATTACTCAGAAAAGCAACCAAGTGACCAGTGGTAGCTTTGGAAACTCAGTTGGGAGAATCTGTCGGTAGGATGGGTACCTGTCAACTCTCCATGTCTGACTTCTTTGGAAGACTTGAGAGGTTGTCATGCTTATAAAAGAGAAACATATTAAAAATATCGAAAGTTCGACATGGGCTGAGTAAGACACCCAGCACACGTGTAGAAGAAAGTGCTCCGCTCAGAGGAATCTACAATTAAATTTGTTGACCTACATGCAAAACTCTTTATCTGGCAGAAAATGTCATCCTGAACACATCATCCTCACTGCGAAGCATGATGTGGCATCCCTGTGCATCTGATGCCACGGGGATGCAATTTTCAGCAGGGACGGAGAAACTGTTCAGAGTTGATGGGACTGGATTGAGCTCCTGTCAGCCCTGGCAATCATGAGGGGGCTGAGAGGGTTCACCTTCCAACAGGACAACAACTCCAAACACTGAGCTACAAACCAATGGAGTAAATCAAAGGATATTCATGCATCAGAACGGTCCAGTTAAAGTCCAAACCTAAATCCAGCTGGGAATCTACAGTAGTGTTTCACAAAAAAATTATAAAATATTTATATACTATAATATAATATAATATAATATAATATAATATAATATAAAATGAAAAAGGGTTTAAAAGGTGAGTGAATACTTTTGCAATGCGGAGTGTAATTACAGTCACAACTCGTTCAAGTGGTTCTTGCTTATCCATTCCAGCACTAGCTATTCTTTTGCATCGCTTTACAAAGGAAATAGCTTTTGTCCCTCCTGCTTCCATTCTTTCTATTTATAGACTTATCATCTGCATGCTCTGTGATCACAGTGGCTCAGGCCCTGTACTGCACAAATGCCCCAGGCCTGTGCAGTCAAATGACTACTCTCTCCTCGCTGCCTCTTCCTTTTCCTTTGTCCAACATCCATCTTGGCCAAACATCTTGACATACTGGCAGCACATTGCTTTTGACAAATGGTGTTCATGTCACAGATCAGCCATGGTCAAATCTGTTAGAATAAGACTATTACATCCATAAAAAAAAGAAAATAGGTCATAGCAAAAGAGAAGCTATTAAGCCTATTAAATCAAATGCAATCATATTTTTTAGAAACCGATAAACAAGCAGTTTATATTTTTAGATATATTTTATGTTTGATTTACATAAAAATTTTCTTATAGTAATATAAAG